GGCTGATGCTGAGGAGCGCAGCTGAGCGACGATTCCGGTGAGGATTCGTACTTCGCTGATCCGTCCAATTCCTCGGGGCCTTCGCGATATCCTGCGTTGCGCCCAGCAGATGAACGTGGATATATCGTTCGCAAGAGCGTAATGGAGGAGGGCACGCGTCCGGAGTATATCATTCCGGTTGGAAGTGCCGACGGCGTGTGGGGTATGATCAAGAGGCTAGGTGCTTTCCGTGGCGAAGGGTGGCTAGCACTATGGAAAGGTACGCAGATGACGTGCTGACAAGTAGACGCGTCGTTGACGCTGTCTGTAGGACTGCTAACGTCCTGTGTCACCGACATAATCTCTTCCACTTTGCAGCCTCTCATCCACAGTGCTCTCCAGGCCATCTTCGCCCCCACCTCCTCATCGCCATACTTATTCCCTAGCACAACCACCTCCATCGTCCTCCCCGTCGCCTCCCACCTCATCACAGGCTTCCTACTCTCTCCCCTCGACCTCGTCCGCACACGCCTCATCATCCAGTCCTTCACAGAGCGCCATCGCACGTACTCAGGGCCCGTCGACGCCCTCACTAGCATCCTCCGCGATGAGGGCGGCTTGCACGGCATCTACCTGCACCCACACCTCTTGATCCCAACGCTGCTCGACAACACGCTCCGTCCACTCATCTCGCTCGTGCTCCCACCGCTGCTCGCGACACGCATGTTCGCCGCTCCGATCTCGATGGACACGCATCCCCTGGCATGGGGCGTCGTCGAGTTTGCGAGCAGCTGCATCGGCCTGCTCGCGACGCTCCCGTTCGAGACCGTGCGGCGGCGCCTGCAGGTGCAGGTGCGCGGGCGCGCGAAGCCGCTCAAGACGTGCGTCGAGACGCGCCCCGCGGCGTACAACGGCGTCGTCGACGCGATGTGGCATATCATGACGGAGGAGCGGTCGGACCTGCCAATACGGCGGCGGAGACGCAGGACGGGTGATAAGGGCAAAGCGAAGGAGGGCACGGCAATTGAAATTGAGGAGGATGATGTCCCGGTGAGCTGGTGGAGGAACACAGGGCTTGGGCAGCTGTATCGTGGGTTCGGGATGAAGCTTGGGGCAAGTGCGATCGTGTTTGTGCTTGGGATCGTGAGTGGAGGGGATGAGGGGGATGCTGGTTGGGCGGAGCTGTGATGGGATACGTCGGTTGTGTATACATTATACTGCATTGCAATGAAGATTCATTCACATCTCGGATACAGCGCGGGAGGTATGTAACGCTCGTCGAACTGACTGCCGTTACATTCGCAGGTGCATGCTTGCATATAAGCGAGCGATGCATCAGACGTTATGCAGTCAATGCAAGACTAACCCCACACGGCGCCGTGGGTGGTGTCCATTGGTTACAAGTATTGTACATGTACATACACGCGACGAAACAGATCTGCAGCCGCCGCGAATCGAAGAAAAAAGGTAAAGGTATAAGAACTCATCGCCGAGTCCAGCAGAAACGGAAGGCATTCGACCTCAAAGAAGATGCTGCACTGAGAAAGGAGGATAACATAAGACGCAACCAGGCTACCTGATCGTCGAAATGACCAATCAAGCGGCTATAAATATAAAGAAAGAAACAGGATTGGCGAATCGTGATGGAAGACCTGCAAAGTGCTGCACGATCTCATGAGCCGTCCGTTGTGCGAAGGAGGGGGATCGCGGGGAACATACGAAACACATAGAACCCGCCAGGGGTCCGAAACCGTGCCCTTCAATAAAACGTAGCCTGGTGAAGCAGGGGCCACGCTTTCGCAACGTCCTGCACATCGCCGACGATGGCATTGCCCGTGCCCCCCGGCGTCATGCTGACGAGCGCGTATCTCTCGCCGCTGAAGAAATACGCGGTGGCCTCCGTAACCGAGGGATTCTGGTTCTGGATCGGGTTGGGATTAATCAAAATCATGTCGACGTGCTTGAACCCCGCCTGCGTGAGTGCCGGCCAGTTGCCCGCAATCGGCTTGGGCCCGTCGACGAGTATGTCGTTCGATGTGCCGGGGCTGACGCGGATGAGGGCATAATGCTCGTCATGGAAGAAGTACGCCTGCGTGCTGTCGTGCGGGTTGATCAGCACCGCGTCGACGTGCCCGAACCCAGCCGCCTTCAGCGCGTGCCAGTTGTCCGCGATCGATTTCGGCCCTTCAAGAACCGTAGCCCCCGTCTGGCCGGGCTGGACATTGAGCCGCGCGTACTCGTGCTTGCAGAAAAAGTACGCCTCGTTCCCCGGGTTAGCCGGGTTCAGCAACACCGCATCGACGCCGCCAAAGTCGACCTGCTGGAGCGCCGGCCACTGCGAGATGATGTTCTTAGCGCCGTTGAGTAGACTGGGGTCCTCCGGGCCCCCTGCGATGCTCTGGACGATGAACTGTGTGTCGGCGAAGAAGTACGCCTGTTTACTGACGCCAGGGACCGCGAAGCACGCGCGTGAGGGCCGCGGCACGTCGTGAACGTCTTCCATGTAGGGGTCCTGGGCGGGCCCGCCTGAGCTGCGCATGACATCGTCGGGATTCTGCTCAGGGTCGTCCGTCAAGGGTGGGGCATTAGCGGCGTCGTGGGCGGCGTGCTTCTTCCCCGAGTGAGCCTTCGCCCCACCCTTCTTCTGGCCGCCTGCCTTGGCCCCTGCCTTCTTCTTCTTCTTCTTCCCGGACCCGGGTTCATCGCGCTTGAGGTCTGCCTCGTTTCCAGAATCCGGTGTTCCAGACCGCGTGCTGGGCGGGGAGTTCGGGGGCGTGTTGTGCGGGCTCGTCCACCAGACCTCCGTCACATGCGACGTCGATGGCCCAGAAAAAGGATCGGGGAGCTCGGAGACGGGTGGAACGTGAGTCGCGCCGTTCGCCGAGGGGTCGAAGCGTCCGTTGCGCCAGAGACGGATGAAAACGCCGTTGGCGTCGTACTCGCGCGCGCTCCGGATGAACTCCGAGCGGATGCCGCCGGGAAACGCGATTTCCTTCTGCTGCTGGAACGGGTGTTTGCCGAGGCTTTCGTTAACGTCGATGCCGCCGTACGCGAAGATCTCGTACTCGAACATATTGGACTTGTTGTCTGGCTGCCAGGACGTGTAGCCTTTCTTCGACTTGCTCTTGTAGTATCGGGCCGTGGAGACGAATATAGACGGGACGTTGTTCATCGCGTAGGAGCCGAGGTCCGTGGTTTCCTCCGGGAAAGCATTCTGAATGTCGCTCGTGACCGGTGTGGCTGGAGCAAACAGTGGTTGGAAACCGTTCTCGAAGATCTCCGCAGGGTGACGGCGATCCCAGCGGATGAGGCGTTCAGCAGCAGCCGGTACGGTTTTCCCACGGAAGTCGGTGACAGTGTCGTCGCGCCACATGATGGTGCGCCCGGCATATGTGTTCGGGCGGTGAAGAGGATCTGGGTTATACTGGCCTAGAGTAGCGGCGATGTAACTGACGAGAGTCTCGGCGATGGCTTGGAACCACAGGACGGCCACTGCCACCAACACATCAGGAACCTTGGGGTCTTTCTTGCCACCCATGCTTCTCGATTAGATGCAAGATATGAGACCAAACAACCTGAGTGACGATGCTGAGTGACCTGTGAGATAGAGAGAAAAAAGCCAAGCAGGCATACTCGACGACGTTTGGGAAATTCTGTAGAGCAACCAAAGAACGAAGAGAGACGCAACGGATCTTGAAAAAACAGACGTCAGGTGTCTGTACTAGTAGAACAAGGAACGCAGGGTAGTTACCTGAGGGTCCGCCTGGGGTGTACTGATGAAGAGCGTAGTTCATGCGTGCTTTTATAGACCGCTTTGTAGCATCTTGTCTTTCACATGGGATCTTTACGAGGGCTTGTCCATGGATGACAATGGTTCTCATAACATACGCTGCAACCATCGAAGAGTGCCAATGCTAGCGAACAGGGTGACCGGAATGTGGTAGGAACGATATCTGAGACAGGATAGATTCAACATGACATACACGTATCCTTTCGAAGGCAGCGGAGTCGTGAGGACGTAGATTCCTGGGAGAGCATAGAAATCGAAGGGAGGTCATCTGCGCAAACGAACGAACCTTCCAAACTTCCAATAGAGTCGAGAATACGATGTTGGTCTAATTCAGACATTTTGATCTCTCTCTTGCAAGCATACCTTGTGGACAAGCGGGGTCAAAGCCATGTCAAACATCGTTTGATCCATTGGCAGAAGCCAGGGTTATGCAGCGATGCTGTAGCCATAGTGTTATGCAAGACGGGTACTTGAGCGCTGGATCGTCTGAGCGGGTCCACTAGGGATGGAATCTGTGGACATCGAACTGGCAGAGGGGGAAAAAAATCTCGCTGCAGTCGCTGTGAAGGCGATGTCCGCGATCACACCTGAATTGAGGAAGAATCAAACTGTTCTGGATCCACAGTGGTGGCCACCACATCGCGTTGGCGAGAAGGGGATGAAAGGTGACGGTAAACGACCGCCTAGAGGCACGATGGTGGCGTGGTCTCTAGGAGAAGGGGCGACCGAGTCGAATCTGAAACCGAAGTAAGATGGCACGAGGAGACTCCGATTTCCGAGGTGACGATCAGCAACTTCCGTTCGAGGACCTGGGCGTAAGATTGGTCAACGTCGTCAGTGTACATGTGTTTCGCAAGGTCACTTTTTGTCAAAAAGGGCGTATATGATTGCCATTGTATCGAAGAGCGCAGGGCGATGGACAGTCTAGGACTGAGGGTCTGTGGCGAGTCTGTAGAGGCGGAACCTGGCTCCGAGACCGTTGGATGACTTCCCGTAGACCAGATTTCCAGGATCCAGAATACCTAGGTATCGTCTTCCAGACATACTGAATGGCAAACGAGAAAGAGATGTCGGAGCGCTTACTAAGGTCTGCAGATCTCCAAAGGCGGAGGTACTCCCGAGGAGACGACCCAGACGAGCCTTTGCACAGGCGTTGACACGTTGACACGCGACCAATGTAGTAGCCAAGCTCCTTTTTGTCGATATTGCATTGTTATTCAGACAGAATATCGCCGGAATAGCTCAGCTGGGAGAGCAACAGACTGAAGAGAATCACGCGGTCTGGTCCCGTGGCCCCTATTCTGGAGGTCGGGCGTTCGATCCGCCCTTCTGGCATTGTTTTTGAAGGGCTGTGATGTCGAGTCTTCCTTTCGCATTTTTCTTGTCTTTTTGCGATTTATTTGGAATTATCTAGGTGTGCAGAGGCTTGAGGCACGACCAGCACGGTGCGAGACCGGCGGTAGTAGCACACGCCCAAGTCCGAGTCCGGACTTCGCGCGCGCGCGCGTCTCAGAGTTTCACCTCTGCATCGGTCGAGCTCTTGTCTGCAATATACCATAGCTCAGCGATCACATAGCTCAAGATGACCAGCATGGAAACAGACGAGCTCCCCGTCGTGCTCCCCTCGAGCACCGTGTCAAGCCTCTCCCTGTCTCTGTGAGTCCGATCCACTGTGCCACACGCCCCCTCTGAGCCCCGACAGCCATCCTCTCCCCATTCTCAACATCTCAGAGCACCTCACCCGCCTGCGTCTGCAGACCAACACTACCATTCCCTTTGGTGAGCCCCCCGCGGCGATCGCGTGCCGCCGCGTCTGACACCGCTCTGCAGTCCTCGGCGCCCTCCTGGGCACGCAGAACGGGCGCGAGGTCGAGATCGTGAACAGCTTCGAGGTCGCAGTCGAGGAGGGCGAGCAGGTCGACCATGGCTCGCTCAATACGCGGAAGGACCAGTGTGCGTTGCCCCGCGTTGTGTCTGAGAGCCCGCTAATTCCGTCTAGTCAAACAGGTGTTCCCGTCTTTGGAGTTCATCGGGTGGTACACCGTCGCGGCGGAACCTACTCCACGTCACATTGCGCTGCACGAACAGGTGCGCGATAGAGGATGTTTTGGACGCGCGGCCCCTGATTGTTGCGTTACAGTTCACGGCATACAGCTCGACGCCGCTCCTGTTGCTGCTGCAGCCCTCTGCGAGCGCAGGACCAGGATCGTCCGACGTGACAGCGCAGCATCTACCACTAAAGGCATACGAGCCGACGATAGAGATCCGTGATAGAACCTCGCGATCGGTCTTCATCGAGGCGCCGTTCTCCGTGGAGACGGGCGAGGCGGAGCGTATCGCTGTCGATTGGACAGCCCGGGGCGGAGAGGGTGGCACGAGCCGTATGTCTATCTTCGTCTGCTCGCCCGCGTGCTGACGATATCCCAGTCGAGTCCCACCTGCAGACCCAGAGAGCCGCCGTGAAGATGCTGCACGATCGCATTGTACTGCTCGTGCAATATGTGAAGGACGTCATATCAGGTTGCTGCCCTAATCCCGATCTGCGCATCGTTATGCTCACTGCGACACTTCAGGCAACGCGCCCAAGGATCACGCGACTCTCAGATCTCTGACCGCGCTCATCGCGTCCCTCCCGGCAAGCGATAACAAGGGCTTCCGCGAAGAGTTCGACACCGTAAGCTCTCCCCAGTCACCAAACTCACACCCAATTCCAACATAATATACAGGAATACGAGGACGTCCAGCTGACAGCATATCTGTCCACCTTGACCAACTCAGCGAACATTCTGAATGACGTAGGTGGTATTCCAACAGCCCGTTCCTCGATCGCGCTAATCTCACATCCCGCAGCTCGTCGACAAGCACATCATTATCAGTGCGAGCGGAAGGGACGACCGGCCCCCGATGATGTCGACCAGGCGAAGAGGAGGGCAGACGCGGGGATCCGCCCTCGGCGACTGGGACCGCATGCACTGATTCTTAGTATCGTGGTACAGAGTCCGCGTTGCTCAATCTTTCTCTCATTCATCACTGTATCATACATTCAGACAAGAAAAGAACCGATGTACAATGTCCCGCAACAAGAGATCCAAGTAGAAATCGTCCGCGCCGATATCGTACACGTACATCAAGGTGCATGCCGTTGCGACAACAGCGGCGGGATGCCCTCCGTTGGCTCACATAGATGCTGCCCCATCGGAGCATCAGCAACTTCAAACCAATTAGATGGCAATGTACTTACGTTGAGGCGTTTAGCATGGGCCCACCTGTGGACCTGAGTGCGACAGTTATATCCGTACCTGCAGAAGGAACGTTTGGGACGACGCCGAAAAGGAGATGCTAAACGCGCATACCAGCAATTTTCATTTATGACAATCCCATCTGTGGTGTGGTTCTCAGAACGGACTCGTACTGGAGGGATGAAGAAGAACGCAGACCATCTATCTTCACAAACAACCACCATATAAACAATCGCTCAGTCCACAGGTATTCCAGACAGGACAGACAAAGCCAGTCCGACTTGGAAAATCCGCCCGCGCCATCGAATACCCAGCGCATCATGGCAGGAAAGTCGAACCGGGGAGATTGCAGCCATGTGAGCATTGGGCCCGTCTCTTGAGAGTTACGACCTGTGTTGCTCTTCAAGCACCGAACGAGGCGCTCCGGGCTCACAATTCCGTAGAGGAGATCCCAATCTGAATGTATCTTGAATACAATACGGATGAGGAAATGATATACAAACGCACTGGATTCTCTCCAAAGCTCACGCTCATGCGTTGTCTTGCAGCGTGCACCTGAACTCTGTTAGACACTTCTCGAGGCACAGACTTCACGGATAGTTACAGCAGTCACCGTCTCTGTAGGTTTCGTCCAGCAGGGCAGGCAGCTTTTGGTCTTTCTCCTTGATATTCAGAAGCTCCAACGCATCCCACACGAATCCGCCACTCAACTGCCTCGGAAAGCCATCGCGCGCGACGGAGTCGTCGAGATGATTGATACTGCGCGTCTGCATGGCGAATAGTATATCATCGGGGCCGCACGTTACCAGCGCAGACTCATGTTTATCTTCCAAAGAGGGGAAGTGAGCAAGCAGTAGCGGGAAAGGGCATAATCGGCGACCAACTCGAAGAATTGAGATTTAAGGCTTCCTGAGGAGTGAAGTGGGTCGCAACGTGCACCCAATCTACAGCAGAGGCAATGAATAGATGGAGGTCACCCAGTTCTCGTTGTTCTGCTGGTGAAAACTGAGCAAGATGCAGCTTTTGCGCTTGCACGAGCGCGGTGCGATCTGCAGTGCCATCCGCGAACTCTTCGTCATCACCTGCCAAGTCTTGCTCTGCCGGGTCGGCGTTTCTCCACTCGCTTCCAAATCGATCCTGATACATCCAGAAACGATACATCGCGCGACGGAAACGGTGGGACTCTGCATCGGACAGCGTGCTCTGAGCTGAGGCTCGATCTTTGTGCCTTGACGAGCCGTTCAGTATTAAGAGAGGAGAGAGGCTGTAGTAGAGATACCTTCTCGAGAAAAAATCCTCCAAGTCGTTGACTATTTCCGCTTTTTTGGTCAGAAGGTACGCGTCTTGCCAATCGGCTACGGTGGTCTCAAGTCCTTCCAAGTCCTCTCTCAACAATGGTGACTGAGGATCCGACATAGCCTGATGAAACCGCACAAGGCGTATCGCTTGAGGTAAAGCGGGGCCGACGAGGTCGCGGGCGACGGCAGTCATGATGGACGTCGGGTGTGTCTTGAAGACATTGTAGAAGCGCTTGGACACCTGGAGAGCGGCTTGCAGGCTTTCAAAGTCGGACAGGCTCGTGAGGAGGTAGTACAAGACGTCGACACTGAGCTTCTGGTCCATGGGGAGATGGTTCGACATTGCACGATGGTGGTAGTCAGGAGTCAAGAGACGCGGGTCCGCATAGTACGCGTCGCGCTTGGCGGTGGCACGCGTTGATAGAAGTTGGTCACGTGATGAGTTCCAGGCTTCGCGCCGAGATGCGCGGCGCGTTGCGGCATCGCTCGCGATCCCACGCAAAGACTCATATATGTCAGTAGTCTAGTGCTCACCTCCCCACGACAGTCATGTCTCAGCCTCAATCCCTCACCGTGGGCAGCCTCCTCCAGCTCTTCTCGCTCAATGGCGCCTACAACATCGGGTTCTCCTTCCTGTTTGGCATGTGTGAGCCGCCCCATCTCCGCGCCCATCTCCACACTGATAAAGACTCCTCACAGCCCTGTGGGTGACCTTCTTCGGAGGTACTACCCCACGCTCCCCCTATACTCTAATTAACATCCCTGCTAACCAAACTCTACCTCTCAGGCGTGATCGCCTACAGGGCCCTGCGTGCGTTCTTCTCGGTCACACATCCTATAATTAATTAACGCCCACCCCGCACACGTTTAGCGAGGCAGCAGTTCGGGACCCTGCAGCACCGCACATTCCCCATCTACTTCAACCTGTCCATCGCCGGGTCCGCCGGTCTGCTCGCCGCTTGGACGTACACGCACCCCGCCGTGCTTGCGCACGCCGCGCGCCCGGCGGTCGCGGACGTCGCGCAGGCGTACGCGCTCGCGAGCGTGCTCGTACTCCAGGCGCTCAACAGCCTCGTCATCGGGCCAGTCACGAGCAAGTGCGCCCCTTTCGTCTAGTCCTCGTCTGATGTCTCAGGCTCACGTCGTGGGGCAGGACGATGTTCCTCCGGCACAAGCTGGAGAAAGAGGAGGGCAAGGCGTACAACGAGCCCGGGGTAAGCGTCGGAACGTTTCAGCGGTGTTTGGGGCTGACGCGAGGCCGGACAGGTGTCCGACGCGATGAAGGCGCTGAACTCCAAGTTCGCGCGGCTGCACGGGTACAGCTCCCTGGCCAACCTCGGCGCGTTCATAGCGCTGACGTTCCACGGCCTCTGGCTCGGAAACTACGGAATCTAACGTATTCTACACGATATATCAATCTTGACAATAGACTTGCCAATGCTGTCCGACGAATGACAGTCCGGCCAAGCTCCGAGGCCTCTGCAAGCAAGAATGAAATTCGTATACACAAGTCTATGTAAGTTTTAATAGTTACTGTAGTACCATACTACCGGAAACGCAGGCGGGAAACTGGACTAGTTAGACTACTCAGGCCTAAAGTACTCGTGAGCATTCGTGGCGGTGCTACATAAGGCGTATACAAAGAAAGCGCAGTGCTCGAGGGAACACGGGCGCGTGCGCGTACGGTAAGGACAAGTGAATTAGGGGAGGGTGGTGCGGACGGTGAGGATGATGTAGTGCGGGGTGTATGAGCATGGTGCGTGAGGGCGAGCAAGACGATGAATACAGCAGGGGATGT